CAAGATAAAAAGACATGAACTGAAATAAACGTGATATTAACTTACTGAAATATGAACAGAACGCATTCCTTATTGATTCCGCTTCTGCTAAGGTTTGGTGCGAGTCCACGGATTGTGGTTGTCTTCTCCTAATATCATTAGCGTGCTGCTCGTTAAGCCAAGAAGGTGTAACTAGGTCATTTTCTGCTATTAAAAAGTTGTGCAAAGCACAACAAGCCTTTATAATAGAATTTGCATTATCAATTCTGTTATCAATTCCTTTTCCGATCCGGCGAAACCTAAATTTGTATACATATATTAGGGTGTCCCTTATTTTTCAATGTTATTATTTTACTACGCATAGGCTCTAGTTTTGTTCATTTATCACTAAAACACTCGAAAAAAGATGTTTGTCTTATTTGGACAACTGCAACCTGTGCCGACTTGTTCGCAAACCTGTTCATACAAGTACGGCGCCTGCACTCTGTTACTGTCAGTTATGCTACGTTTGTACGCCAGCTGTTTGCAAATAAAATCAATTTGCAAATACTGGACTAACTGTTTTAGAGGCGATTCCCATTCAGAAATAAATAAAATTTCAACATTTGCACTATATGTGTAAATAGTTTCATTAATTAGCAATTACTTTCATGAGTGAGCTGTATGCAAATAAAGAATTAACTGTGCGTTTAGCAAATTTGAAATAAGACGTGCACGTATTATTAATCTTGGCTTGTCGGGTAAATAACGCGGAAGATTTCGTATTTCGAAAATGTCAGTGGAACTAAGAAGCAATAAAAATATTATATTTTTGGTTGGTGAGGTCAAGCACCAAATAACGGGTGCAAAATTACCGTCTAATCGTCAAGTTCTCGCGGTTCTATTTTTCAATATTCGCGAAATAAAATTGAGTGTTATTGAAAGCGCAAATCTTGCCACTCGTGAGTGCATTATATTCTGGGAAAAGGCTAGGATACCTACCAGAGCTGTCCCTAATTGTGTTAAGAAACTTGTGGATCTTTATCAAGTCTGGCTAGAGCTGCAAAAAAATTGCAAGAAGATACCGGCTTTTCACAGACGTCGCGAGGAGGAGTTTCAACGGGGTTTGGATAATTTATTTGATATCGCACATGCTGATGCTCTCAAAAGAATTAAAATAGAAGAAGATAAAATATTCTTACAAAAACAGAGAGAACCAGGGCGTCCGGGTTGCTTAGCGGGTATAGACAAAAAGTTAGCTATAACTGAAGAAAGGACAAGGCTCAGACAACTAGCAAAAGAGAAAAATAGACTAAAGCAAATACCCTTAGAGAGCTTATCGACATCTGTAACTCCACACAACAATATAACACTTACATAATTACAGGATCAATCTGCAAGCTCTGAAGAAAGCCTGAACGAACCGCTGCCTTCCACATCTCAATCTCTTCGTTTATTATCTACGACGACAAAAAGAGGAAGGAAAGATTTTATCACGTCTAAATTGGTTGCAACTTTAGACAGATGTCAACTCAGCATTAGAGATTCAGTTTATATAATTCAGGCTGTAGTAGAAGCACTAGGCCTTTGTTGCGACGATTACCCAATTAACAAATCTTCAATTCAACGCATTCGAACACAAATGAGAAAACATAGAGCAGAATCCATAAAATCCGATTTTCAGAATAACATGCCTGAAGTAGTTACCGTTCATTGGTCTGGATGTGTAAAGTTCTAAAGAAGAACGCTTGCCAATTATTATTTCATTTGAAGAGAAGGAACAACTTCTTGCAGTACCGAAATTAGAAAGCTCTTCCGGCAAAGATCAAGCGAATGCAGTATCAAATGCGCTTAATGATTGGAACCTTAAAGATAAGGTGCAAATAATGTGCTGTGATACGACAGCATCTAATACAGGCCGCTTGAAAGGAGCTTGTGTGCTTGTAGAGCAAGCATTAGATAGAGAATTGTTACTCTTTGCTTGCCGTCATATGTTTATGAACTTGTGCTCAAAAGTGTATTTATATCAAAGATTAAAGAAGACACTACCAATCCCGATATTTCACTGTTTAAAAAATTTAAAGATAACTGGAAGAATATTAATCCCAGTGCTATCGAATTGTGCGATAATTTTGTCAAACAACATTTCTGTGACGCGACCATTAATGAATTGGTGACGTTTTTTTACAACGAACTGGGAAAATCGATTGTACGAGATGACTATCGAGAACTTATTGAACTCGCCATTACTTTTTTGGGAGGAGATTCTGAAAATAAAATTAAAATCAGACCTCCTGGCGCAATGCATCAAGCACGGTGGATGGCAAGAGCTATTTACTCTTTAAAGATTTGTTGCTGCAGTCTCAGTTTAAAATGAATGTCAAGGACGAACAAGCGCTTAAAGATGTTTGTTTATTCCTTGTGACAGTTTATGTAAAGCCCTGGCTTGGATGCTGTTTAGCAGTAAAAGCGCCGAATCAAGATTTGCGTTTTTTAAAGACCCTGAAAGGTTACAAAAGAGTTGACAATTTGATTTCCAAAGCCGCTTTGAGCAAATTCAGTCAACACCTATGGTATTTATCAGAGGAAGTAACCCTCCTATCAGTTTTTGACGACGAAGTTGATAAACAAACCAAGCAGAACATTGTGGCAAACTTACAAAGAGAAAGCTTTGGGGATTCAAGAAAGAGATATGTTCCATCGAAGGATGAGATGTCGGTCTCTTTATATGGTAAGTGGTAATCAATCTGTTAATTTGAAATTTTGCTTATTTAATTTAATTAATACTGTAACTTTTTTTTCATGTTTTAGAAAAATCGTTGAGTGATTTCATATCTGTTAAGAGCAAAAATATATTTTCGAGATTTAAAGTTGACAGCAGTTTCCTTCAGGCAAATGTATCTTCGTGGGAAGTAAATGCCGCCTATGTGGAAGCTAAAAAGAAGTTGTTGGGCTTAAAAGCAGTAAATGACACAGCTGAGAGATCTGTTAAACTAATGCAAGACTTTCATGGTTTGATAACCGCAGACGAAGAACAAAAGCAGTTCCTATTACGCTGTGTGCAAGAACATAGAAAGATGTATCCATATTGTAAAAAAGAGACTTTAAAAAAGAAAATGTCCTAAATAATCATTTTTTAAATTAAAGAAAGCCATTACCTAAATGTGTATTTTCATCAATATTAAACAAACATATGAATATTTGCGTTGATCTAGCTATTTGATGTAGTAAAAAAACTATTTGCTAAAACTTTGAGCCCCTGTCGGCACGGGTTGAAATATACATAGAAAGGAAAAATTTTATATTTGAGTACAGGTAAGTATACTTAACAGAATTAGAGGGTATGCATTTTGATAATTACAAAACAAAAAATTTCGTCCATATAAGGGACACCCTAACATATATGTTAAAATAATAAGTGTATCCCACTGGGAAAATAAGTAAGCACCTTACGACGTAAGCCATGTTTTCTTTCAGTTTTTAGTACCAAAATTGTCATCAATGCCAATGCCACCTACTAGTAAAGCACAAAATGAACACCTCTGACGACACATTACTTTGTCAGTTGCAAAATAACTTGCAGCCGAAGTTATTTCCAAGCGCCGAACTACTCCGAGCGACTGCTCTGCATTATGCGTAATTTACTTTGTAAAGCGACTCAGAGGTATGTCTGATACCAAATTTACATTCTAATTTCCTACTTACATAAGGCGGCCACGTCTTTGTTAAACTAAGGGAGATTCGTCAGTGAAGTCGCAAGGACCGCCGGGTGAAGTGTAAGTAAGGTAAGGTATTGCCCTTCACCCGGCGGTCCTTACTACTTCCCTGCCGAATCTCCATTACTTTAACAAAGACGTGGCCGCCTTATGTAAGTAGGAATTTAGAATCTACATTTGGTATCAGACATACCTCTGAGCAGCTTTACAAAGTAAGTTACGCATAATGCAGAGCAGTCGCTCGTAGTAGTTCGGCGCTTGGAAATAAC